TGCGATAATTAGAAAGGAATGAATAATGTCATACACCCAGATATACAGTTTAAATATGCGATTATTTTTATATATAACGTAATTTTACAATTTACAGTTTTTACAATATTTGTAAACAGGAACTTTAATTTAATTTAATTTAATTTAGTTAATTTTAAATCAAATTTTAATTACCTGCTTTCGATTAGCAATAAAATGTACATTTACTTTTCACATTGTTTACAAAATTATTATATCTAAAAGATAAACTATTAACTCATACTCTATATTTGATTTTTCATTATAAATTTTGCGCAAAAAATCTACAGCAGCACATTTATTGATGATACAATTTTTACCTAAAAAGTGTTACAAAATTAAATTAATTTAAATTTTTCATTGACGATATGTACGAGGGGTATCCAGAAAATAAGTTCCGTTTGTATTATACGTTTAGTAAGGTCGATGTATGAGCGAGCTGGCAACACAGCATTGAAGAGGGGAAGCTACCGAATAGAATGAGCGGTGTTCGGCGTCAGTAGCTCGTGAAACACGGTCAGGAGAGGTTATCAAAATGGAGTCCTCCACTTCGCGTCCCGCCACCTCCATTCCGATTCCTTCTCGAGTTGTTTTGCGCGGCATCATTCAGTTTCTTTTTGCTCAAGATTTTAAATCGGTTGATATTCACAAACAGCTTGTTTCTGTATATGGAGAGAGTGTGATGAGTGAATCTATGGTGCGGAGATGGGTCCGAGAATTTAAGGCAGGAAGACATTCGCTTGAAGACGAAAGTGGGAGAGGCAGACCCTCCCTTATCACGGATGAGTTGACGACAAAAATTGAAAATGCGATTCGCAATGATCGTCGTTTAACTTTAGATGAACTCCACAACCTTTTTCCAGAGATATCCCGAAGTCTTATCCATGAGATCGTTTCAGAAAAACTCGAATTTCGCAAGGTTTGCGCCCGTTGGGTTCCCAGAGAACTGACTCCTCTACACAAGGCCACACGAGTGACTGCAGGTAAAGAATTTTTGGACCGTTACATCTTTTTACGAAACTGAAGGAGTCCTTGGCCGGAAAACGCTTCCAAAGCGACGAGGAAGTTCAGACAGCTGTAACTAACTGGACTAAAGAACTGGCGGGAAGTTTCTATGCAGAAGGGATTTCGAAGCTTGTTTCCAGATATACAAAATGTATTGAGATTGACGGGAATTATGTAGAAAAAGACTAGAAGTTGTCAAGTATTATCCATGTAAATTTTAGATTTTTTCAATAAAAACTTTATTTGTAAAAAAAAACGGAACTTATTTTCTGGATACCCCTCGTATATACTGGCACAGCTCAGAGTATATACGTTCTCGACGCATTATTCAAGTTCGAACATGAAGAGCACGGTTGACGGCTTTATATACAGACATGTGTCGCGCAGTATTAATTTGACCACATTCATATCACGCATTTTTATGACTTCTATCATAAGATCTTGGACCGATAATAATGAAGATACGATTGATTACATGAGTCGCCCAATATCCGCGCGTCTTTCGATGAAAGTCCGCCACATTGCACGAGGTAAGATTATGTTGTTATCTTGGTTGTCGCCAATTGCAATTTTCACAAAAGACATAGGTCCCACGACATCCAGGTATTTGTAAGCTGTAGGAGTCAGTGTAAATCTTCTTCCCAATATACGAGGTTTATTACAAGAATATATATATATATATATATATATATAGTATACATAGATATATAGTGTAAAATAGAGGAAAAAGGAAAATAAATAAACAAACTGTAAAGAAAAAATATAAAAAAATTTATAAAATAAAAACTTACTGTTTATACTCTTTATCTTGAATAGGAACATAAAATCTCATGGAATCGTGCATGCTTGGAAAGCGTTGCAGTAGCAGTCCGCCTGAACGACTGATGCAGCAACATTGCCTGAGCTCTTTTTAAGTTTCGTCCCCTCCATCACATTTCAGGAATGCATATGGAATAGTTTTAACGAACACAAGCAAGAGATAAAAAATGCAAGCGCCGATATACGGCAGCTTAGTGTAATAAAAGATTTTTTTTAGGACATTCGACATATTAATATGATATGTTTCATGATGATATCATGAATGTAATTTTGATAATGCGACATTGCTAAATATGTATAATGATATAAAATTTAAAAATCGAGATGTATTGCTACGTTGCCAAATAGTGTGCATAATGATATATGTCCCACCCGCTATAGTTCTATACTCGCCATAGTATTCGTGCTTTCTCTCCTATCCATCCTACCATTGTGGTTCTATACTTATCATAGTATTCACGCTCTCGCTTCTTCTCATTATATTCTTTCTCACGTTCTCTTTTCTTCTTGCTCACAATTTTATTAAATAAATATATTTATTTTACGATTTTGTAATGATATGACTTAGCAATAATTTTAATTTAACTAATTATAATAATATTTTTAATATATAATATAAATAGCTGAGCGTTCTTAAATATAAGTTATCAAACTATCGTAAACTATTATTGAGTAGATATTAAACACTTATTGTACTTATTGTACTACGTATTACTGAACAGCTATCATATTATTAATTAATTCTAAATATCTATAAAGAAAGAAGATTCTTTTCTACTCGCGTTAAGAATAGGAATGTGCAGATGTCAAAGTTACGTGACAAGCAGATGATATCATAGAATGGCGAAAAAAATATTTTAGGATTGTGGAGGAAACCCAGAAAGAAATAGAGATTAGAATTATAATTTCTTATTATTCAATTTTTATTTCTATAATTTGATTAACTTATTTGAGAAAAAAATTGCGCACCTTCTTATCATATATAATTCTAAATCGCTGAATAGAGGCAGGGAAAAAAAAGACTGAAAGTAATTTTAAAAATTCATAATATATTAAGTATCATATACATTTTTTAAATAAAATATTAATTTATTTTTTAATTTAAATGTAATGCAGTGTATACAATTTCATCTGAAGCGCACATTACTAATTCACACTTCATGATTGAAGTTTCATCATAAATATAAAATCCGAAGCGCCACTACGGTCTGAGTATTAAGATGTTGAACTACGAGGGGTATCCAGAAAATAAGTTCCGTTTTTTTTTACAAATAAAGTTTTTATTGAAAAAATCTAAAATTTACATGGATAATACTTGACAACTTCTAGTCTTTTTCTACATAATTCCCGTCAATCTCAATACATTTTGTATATCTGGAAACAAGCTTCGAAATCCCTTCTGCATAGAA